GGAAAAATAAAAATCAAGTTTAAGTCATTTTATTCGACTTTACGTCTGTCCGCCACAAATATTGAAGTCGTAATATCACTAGATAAACGTTTAAAGCACATAAAATCATATTAAAATATATACAAGTATGTACTGTATTTACAGTACATGCATTCGTAAATTTAGATTACTTTTTTTTGTACTATATTAAAAACTAAAATTTATTTGTTTGTAAGCTTAAAATAGATTTTTATTAACCATATATTATTAAAAATGCATTAATAAATAAAATACAGAACCGGGAATGGTAATTTACGGTTTAGCCTAGTGATAAGTAGATTCGGAGACAAGTAAATTCGACTTACGTCGCTTTCCTAGAACCAATTACCGACGTAAGGCGAGGTATACCTGTATCTGAAATGAAATGCTCTCTCTCTCTCTCTCTCTCCCCGCTGGGGAATTTCTACAAATCCCTTCTTAGTGTGCATTCCCATAGCGTAACCTAACTGTGTACCAAATTTCGCTTCTAGGTTCTGGAACTTTCTAGAACATTCTCATTGAAGCGTCACACATTTTTAAAGTCAACCACTTTCAAACCCCATATCTCTCACACCCTTGTAGAGACGCAACCACCATTGTGCACAACGGGAGACTTGGGGCTACTACCACACAAACACCATTCATGTGCGATGTGTAGTTTTGGCTGAAGTGACGTATAGGCACAAACATGTCCGTATATATATAGAGCTCTGCGCCACGTAACACGCAACAAACAAAATGTTCGCTCGTTTGGACAGCCTGTGAACACGCGCTACTCCATTGCTGCAGCTGCGCGCCCAAACTATTTTCTGTCAGTGTTTGCCACGAACACGAAGGGTTTTGTCGGCGCAGCATTCTTTAATTCCGATGCTCACGCACGCATTGGTACTGATACGAGTGATACAAAATGATCTTTACGAATCTTAAACATAAAACATAAGTTTATAACACACAATTGACAAAAAGTTAATATTTCCAAAACTCGGGGCTTTTTTAAACGCCGCGGGACGCGGGACAAATTGTTAAAAGTCGGGACTGTTCCGCCAAAAGCGGGTCGTCTGGTCACCTTAACCTAGCGCCAATCCGCTTTATTTCTTTAGCTTCTGTTGACCTATCCTAAATCCCTCCAGTTTTAGGGGAAAACAGAACGGTTTTAGGCTAAATCTTTTTCCGGCGAAACTTGTGCACGATGGGTAATAGCATCAGATCACAAGGCAGTTTTACAGTAAATTTAAGACTATCCTAAACATTACCCGAAGAGGTAATGTTTAGTTAAAATTACCCTAGAAACGGCAGCACCGAGTGCCGATGAACTACTTTACTAACCGAAATCGTTAACTTAACGCCCGAAAACCGTTTTACGCATCTCGGCTTCGATCAATAAAGTGAGTTTACATTTTTATTTTAGTCTTTATAAAAAGTGACGAATAAAGTAATATTCGGTAAATTAAATTCCTGTACTAAAAATAATTATCGACATTAAATGGTTTTTGTGTTCAAAAGTATAAAGGCGGTGATTATAATTTTTTCCGTGGACATACGCATTTTTCGCCGGATGCTCGCCCTCTGGTATTTAAAAACAAAATCATTCGACTGAGTCGTTTAATTCATTCTTGTGTATTTTCTTTTTTTAACTCTTTTTGCCCCCTGCCAAGAGGGCCTTTTATAGCGGGCCCATTATTGGTTCGGCCAGGCCCACAATGGGGCGACCGGGTGACGAGGGACGAGACCCGACATATCCGAACGGACCACCCCCCGAAAAATTCCTGGGGATTCTTTGACCCGTCCGGATTTATCAGCAGTAAAGATGAATAGCGATAGAAAAAGCAAAGCTTTCTGTTTCGTTCCAAATTGCAATTTAAAAGCCTTACGGGAGCCTGATATAATTTTTCGTCTATTCCCACACGAAAAACACATGATTATTCGGAAATCGGTCGGCTGTATTTATGAGCTCCGAATTCTGAAAGAGTGGATTAGACTTTTAATTAATTAATTAAGAAGTGGCGGTTTCCCGATTGTCCGGCTGTACACGAACAAGTTATACTGTCAATTTTAAAAAATATTTTCTTAAAGTTTAACAAAATTTGACTTCAATTTTGTTTCTTGAACAAATGTTTGAGACCTCTTGAAAGTCGAGACCCTAAGCAATAACTTACGTAGCTTTTTACTTGTAAGGACAGATGACAAAGCTGATGTTTTTTTAACACAAAGAGCACAAATATGTATAAAACGATTTCGCTCATTTGTTTCCGTACCGCATAATGACGTGTTCCACTAGCAATAATTGTTTTCCTTCTATAAAATTTCTCGATAAACAGCTACAAGCGGCATATATCATTACGTCGGACAGTAATATATGATTAATTTTACATTTCTAGTTACAAGCGACCCAGGTAAAGTAGCCATTTTGTAAAAATGCAGCGTCCTGTATAGTTCATGAAAAACGCGAGTAAGCGCATTCACTGCCATGCATATTTATTTGTATAGTCTAGTAAACAGTTTTTGTACTTTTGTAAAAAACTGTTTACTAGACTATACAAATAAATTTCTAGTAACAGTTTTTGTACTTTTGTACAAAAACTGTTACTAGAAATACAGAAATCAGTTATCATATCCGCAGAATGTTCCTTACAGGATTTTCATAGAATACAAACGATCATTTTAAAATCTGAAAGAAAGATGAATCGAGAGATTGCCAAACATTTGGACAGATCTGCAATCGTATTTGACAATTTTATTTTAATAACTGATAAATCGATGGCATCAAAAAATCAACCGAAGACCATCAAAATTAACAGCTAGACACCACGTGATATTATCCGGGAAATTTCCAACAACGATACAAATTTGACATCTTTGTGGTCACGTCCAGACAGTTCTATAAGCCAGTCAATTTTCATGGAGTTTAAAGGTTTCCAAACTACTACAGCATAAAAAGAGAAAGAGCCAGACAACTCTAAATGTTAGACAAAAAAATTTTACACATGAAATTGGACCACAAAAATGATGTCCTGGACCACCGGATGGAGACAGGTCGTGTTTAGTGATAAAATAAAATAAAAAAATCTAGCAACGCGTTGCGTAACTTTCCCGGCTTTTATGACATTCTATTTTAAATATAACATTTGCATTATTAATCAAATAACTAAAATTATACGTGGCGCCATCTGTTAGGAGATTTTGTTATAAAAATTTATATATTTTTAATTATTATAAAATGCAAAAGACCTAATTTTGAGAGTAGAGATAAATTTACTAAATTACTGTAAATGCTAACAACAAGTAAAATCTTCATTAAGTCTGACCTCTGGCGAGATATGACACGTCACCACCGTCTATCTCTCCATACTCTTGACCTTTCACAACCAAAATTTAATATCATTAATGCACCTTATATAGAAGCTACCGCGCCAAATTTCGTTTCTTTATATTCACCTCGTCCCGAGATATTAAGCGAAACAGATTCAAACACACACAAACACACATCCACGGAATTTTGACAGCGGATGGCCGATCGGTCCAGGTGACAACCCACCGCTCTGGGGACCCGGGATCGAATCCAGACGGGTCAAAGAATTCCCGGGAATTTTTCGGGGGTGATCCGACCGGATACGTCGGGCCCCGTCCCTCACCACCCGGTCGCCCCATTGTGGGCCAGGCCCAACTCATAATGAGCTGGCTAAAAGAGTTCTCTAGTGCCCGTAGGGCAGAAAAGGTTTTTTAAAAAAGAAAGATACCAATACATATACAATAAAGCATCGATTATCCGAATGTGGTTTAATTTTTCGGATAACCGATTATGTGCGAAAAATTATATTAACCTATCCCATGCTGGAATTCGTTCATTCTTCTTGTTCTTCTTCTTCTAATGTTCATATGGAGAGACTAGCATGAAATTCGTTGAAATCCTGGCACCTTCTTAAGTACCATTTCACGGTCGAGCCAGTGCTGCCAGCTAAAACACGCGCACCAAAAAAATAATATTGGAGTAGCCCAAGATATAGCCAAAGATTGCAGCGTCATAGCACTAGCGAAAAATTGAAATTTGCCGACCGGAAAACTTTCGGTTAATTGACATTCGGATAATCGATGCTCTACTGTATATTAATCCATAAACCTTCCCACAGAAAGCTGTGATTTTCCATTAAATACTTTAAATTCTAAGTGAAACAGTTTGCAAATACTCGTATTTATAGTCGATACGAAAACTAAAACGTTTCAATGAAAATCTAAAACAGGCAAACTAAATGTTTAGTTATTAATTAAAAAGTCATTAACTTTAACTTTTGGGGAGTTGGGATGGAATAAAGTTTGAGCGATAGCATTAATTATTTTTAAAAGTCCTTTAATTCGGTGACATAAAAGCTGGCAACCACAGCAGAGACCAGGGAACAGATATCGATAAAAGTATACAACATTCGGAAGAAAATATTTCGTTCAAAATAGCCATTTACCGATACGAGTATCTTATTAGAAACATATAGGATCATTTTTCGTCAAAGTAATGGTTTGCTCACTATTAAATAACACTAGATTAGTAAATAGATTACCGAATTTCATAAATTTTCTAAACACGTAATTATTTCAACTTATGAATTTGCCCGGTTTCAGTTTGGTCGCTGCTAAATAATTTACACTCAACTCTGTTAGAATCTCACCTCTAGAACGTGCTCCTCTTTCTTCTCTCGATCCAAAGGGAGGGACGCGGTCGAAACAATTCCTGAAAAATAAAAGTATGCCAATCAAGCGTGCCAATAGCTTCTCCTCTCGGGGAGTAGGCGCAGACTCTCCACTATGGCCATGGTGTGGCCGATGTCCGACGATTCGCGGAGCGACGCAATCGCAATCCTACCTGCCTACACACCCGGCGCCAAACGGAAGGCGATTTGCGACGAATTATGGGCAAAACTTTCAACTTAAAATAAAGTTTCAAATACAAACGTAAATCGAAAAATACATTTTTTTAACATTTAATGCTAATATCTTATCCGACCCACCACTATTTAAAGCCGTTTGCTTCCGTACTTGTATTTTTATATTTTCGTTTTAATAATTTGGGCCTTTTTTGTCATAAAGAATAGGACGGCATCCGACATCTTCCAGCTTTTGGATAGCGGTACCGGACAGTCTAACATTTGCCATTTTTGCATCTTTTGGAAATTTCCGTACCGCGCCGTACGTAGTGCCCAGGACGACGCGGCGTACGTTCGGAATTACCAGTGCCGATGCGGTGTACGTTCGGAATTACCAGTGCCGATGCCCGTCGTCCTGTCGGTACTCCGCGGCCAAAGTACTGGAAGGCGATTCTACCGCGCACGAGCGACAAAGGCGACGGAACGGGCCGCAAAGGCGCTAAGTGAAGAGCCGGAGTTAAAACCCCGAGGTGGCGAGTAAGAGGTCTGAAATTCGACGTAAATACTTACCTCGGGCGGGGTCTATAGAGAAGTATCGGTCGGAATCCCCGGACGAAATAGAATAGACGACGGTCTGACGGGGATTAGAGTCCAGATCGAAGGCGTTCAGCTTGACCACGGCAGTTCCCTCCGGAGAATTTTCGGGCACTTGGGCGTAATACACGGGCTCGAAGGTCAGGGGAACGTTGTCGTTCTCGTCGGTCACTTCCACGTACAGGTAGAGGCGAGAGGAGGCGGGCACCGCCGCTCCGTCTCTGGCGTGAACGGTCAGCCAATACCCTGAAGCTGTCTCTCGGTCCAGAGGACATCGGGTCCTCACCTCACCTGCCACAAACAAATTTAAGTACAACGTTAACCGTCGATGGGTAAAACTTTTCCGAGCGGTGTCGCGAGAACGGCATTCCTTCCGGTCGCCCATCCGTCGCGGTATTTGTTCCGCTCGTTCTATTCCCTCGGTTTTACGAAAGGTACAATGTCTAAAATAACACCGGTTTCCAGGAAATAACACAACGCTAACAGCCTGAAAAACGTTACAAAGAAAGGGAGAGAGCAGACCTTGGAAATAAAGGGAAAGCATTCTACAAAAAATACACAACTGGGGCATTCATAATAAGTTAAAATTTAATACTACGAAAACCAAATACCTTGTGATTAATAAGCCTAGACATCCTCATCTCTACCGGCGCGTGCCATTAATTAATATGAATGGAAAAGTCATAAAAGTTGAAAAGTCTGTTCAGTATCTCGGAGTCACATTAGACCATCGGCTAGCTTGGAACGAGCTCATAGAAAACAGTAAAAAATACGGGCCTAATCTTTCAGGCATTTTCTCAAATAGCCCGCAAAACCTGGGGGTACGACTCCAAGATTCTAGACATTATATATGAGAAAATATTTATTCCTATTGTTACATATGCGTGCGACAGCTGGGGATGGGCAATTAAGAAAGTGCACCCTAAAAGGAAGATTATCTCTGCCCAATGTACAGCCCTTATATCAATTACGAAAGCCTACCGCACTTCATCCAACATCACTCTACAAGTCATCTTTCGAAAACTTTCAGTAGACAAAATTACTGAACTTAACTCCAAGATCAAAAACCTAAAGTGGAGGCACAACATCCTGATTATCTCCGAAACATACTATGCATCTGATCTTGAAAAAAAACGCCCCCTATTCCCAAACTGTTTATCCCGGTTCTTTCAAACGAGTCACCAGCCTTAGTGACACTGACCCCCATCTTAAAGTATTCACGGACGAATCTAGAATAGGATAATATAGGCTGCTGCTTCGTGGCAAGACATGCAGATCTTCCATCTACAATATCGTCTGGAAAAGCAGAGTAATAACTTCCAGACAGAGCTTTACGCTATTCAAAAGGTTCTTGAATGGACGATAAGGAAGTATACTAATACTAAAATTGCGATTATAACAGACTGCTCCTCAGATGTTGCGCTTATATACAGCACCAGACTACATCCTACAGCGGCAGAGATTCGCAAATTAATTGTGCAGTCGAACACTTACATCATTTCTTGGATACGACCCCACGTTGGTACACTGAGCAACGATAGGGCATATACATTAGCAAAATCCGCAGCCTTGGATCACAATATACCTGTTACGTATAATAAGTAAGGCATTTATAAAAACTCTTGTTTGGAATGATCTAATACAGGAGTGGCAAGAAATTTGGGAGAACAATAATAATACCAATAGTGTTACAAAGCAATTCATCCCTAATGTCAAGCAATTTTACTCTCTTAAATGGTTTACCCTGGATTACTATATAACAATCACAATCACAAAAATTTGAAAAGTTATCTTCAGAGGTTCAAAGGATATCCCAACAAGGACTGACCAATATGCGGTATGGAAGATGGAGCCCTACATTACACCTTTGACTGCGAAATCGAAAGACAACTAATTCGAGCGCTGATTACGCAACGCAATGGTCATTGGCCCTGTAGCGCCAGGATCTACTAAGTACTAAAGAAATCTTCGACATTTTTTGCCAATTCACTATAACATATCATAGGCATTCTATGGAGACTGTAAATAACAGGTGACCGATCGGTATTTGCTACTGAATCCAACCCCTGCATTACCACTGCAGCCTAGACGATATATCTTTTAATGTCGGCTTTATTGTGCACAGAACTACTGCAACTGATGTTTTTAGCTCTACTGTGTATACTATGAACTTTTTCTTATCTAAATATATAAAATCACTTGTCCTGACTGACTGAATGACTGATTCATCATCGTCCAGAGCAAACCGCTGAACGTAAAGAGGTGAAATTTGATACACAGTTAGGGTACGTCACGAAAATGCACACTAAAAAGGAATTTTTCGATATCCCCCGGGAGAGAAGGACGGGATTAAGCTTTCGACAATGGAAGTATTAAGTAACAATGGAAGTATCAACAATGGAAGTGTTAAGAATGGAAGCGTTACGTAACAATGGAATTGTTAAGAGGAAGCGACGTGCAAGATGCAGATGCAGTTCTTTTCGTTTTGCGGGAAATCGAATATATTTTTAGGCCCATCTAAAAATTCTTTAATTAGTCCGGAAACAGGGGGACCCAATTCTCGCATTCTGTGAAAACGGGTAAGATTGACTATAACGTAATAATATTAATCTTCGCTATCGTTACTTTTGCCCGAGCAACGCCGGGCCTACCTGCTAGTTTCTTATAAAATCCACCCAATAACATTAACAGAAATAGGAGTTAATTTCCAATGATTTATAATCTTAAAAAATAATAGCAAAATTATGGATAAATGGAAATTTGCCTAAAGTTCTTAAACCGTACGTGTCATAATACGTAAAATACGTATTATTTATATTATTTATATACGTAAATATTTTATGTATTACATAATACGTAAAATACACAATTATATTTGAAAACATAACAAGTTATATTGGATGAAAAAAATCTTTTACTGTCATTTTGTGACTACTACCGAATGCCTTAAAAATATGTTAACACTAGCCGTTAGCCGCGACTTCGCCCGCGGGAGTTTTGCAAGCAAACCCCATTTATATTCAGTATTTCAACAATCATAGTAATTGTTATATAACACCTACCGCTGAAAATAATGAAAATTGCCGAAAATCAAACTAACTGTTTTCAATTTGATCAATCGCTCTATAATCGAACCAATATGCAATAACAAATTCGAATTTAAAACGGTTCGAACATTTGGTTGAAAAATCAAAAATATATAAAAATATTTATAACAATATCTGAAATGTTATCAATTTAATACACCTAAGTACTCAATAAAGACTAAGGCCCTGTACACACTAGGCGTTTTTCAACGCGCGTTAAACGCGCGTTTAAAAGCGCGCGTTTAACGCGCGTTTAAAAGAACCAAGAGTTCTATGTAGCCGTACACACTCAAAAGCCAAGCGCGCGTTAAACGCGCGTTTTGCGAGCGCTTATAGATTTTTGTTAAAACGCGCGTTTTGCGAGCGCTTTACGGGCGCTTTGAGATATATGTGCTGCCATGTTACCGTACATGCGATCGCGCGTTTTGCGGGCGTCAGCCGAGCGCTTTGAGATATATGTGCTGAAATGGAGAACGATCATTTCGATACTGATCTATTTATTGATGAAATCTAAAAGAGACCAACCATCGTCAAAGGATTTTATAGATATTTTAAAAGAATTAAAAAACTTGAATTTATTTTGTCTTAGTTTTGGATACAACGTCGCAAACATTTCATGCGTCAGTCTATCTGGTAATATTGGGTGCACCCAAAATTCTCTTTGCCTCCGCCGTCGTCTTTTATAGCGACGATAGAGGAGCCACACACAAGCAATCACTTCCACATCCATTTCCAAACCGAGCCAGTGCGCATGCTCCGCTAAACGCTCGTTAGCTCGGCGTTCGACGAGCGTTTAACGCGCGTTAGCTCGGCGTTCGACGAGCGTTTAACGCGCGTTGAAAAACGCCTAGTGTGTACAGGGCCTAAAAGCGCGCGTTTAACGCGCGTTGAAAAACGCCTAGTGTGTACAGGGCCTAAACGTAGTTGAAAACAAAAAATCGCATCTAAAATAGTACAGTAGAAACCGTTCTTCCGGTTAAGCCTTAAACCTCTCCCTCTCCCCCCCCCCCGCGAGGGAATTTCGAAAAACTTCTTAGTGTGCGTTTTCATGACGTACCCTAACTGTGTACCAAATTTCACCTCTTTAGGTTCAGCGGTTTGCTCTGGGCGATGATGAATCAGTGAGTCAGTCAGTCAGTCAGGACAAGCAGTTTTATATACCTTGTATTTAGATAACTTTTTATTAAAATAGTTGTTATTAGTGGGATGGATGTGTCTGAAGAGAAGCATCAAGATTATTGATATTCGGTTGAAAATTGGTAAGTTTTAGTCGCAAATCACCACGGTTTTCCGAGTTCAATCTGTTCCTCCATTTCGTCAAAATTGTGTTCGCGTGGCTAAAACCAGCTTCTACCACGTATGAAGTTGGGAATGCGAGTAAGAAAGGTTCGGCTTCTGCTCCGAGCTTGGGATATTTAGTGGCAATATTGTTATTGCTCCAAAATTCACTGAGATTTTTATTTTTAAACAACGCTTTAGCTTCGAGATCTACACATATTTCATTCAGTTCATCTACTAAGCCAGGTTCACTGCGGCCTGATGGCCGAGCGGTTAAGGTGGCAGCCTACCGCTCTGGGGACCCGGGCCCGAATCCGAACGGGCCGAAAAATCCCCAGGAATTTTTCGGGGGTGGTCCGTTCGGATATGTCGGGCCCCGTCCCTCACCATCCGGCAGCCCCATTGTGGGCCTGGCCGAACCCATAATGGGCTTGCAAAAAGACGCCCTCTTAGTGCCCACAGGGCGGAAAGAGTTAAAAAAAAGCCAGGTTCACTACCTTCATTATTTTTATATCAAATGGATTAGCGAACCATTCGGGAAAATGCATATTCTCCGAGTCTTCGAAACGTGCTTTAAAGTCTTCTCTTAATTTATCAAGATGTTTAATATATATCTCCAAATCACGGTCGGAAAACTTTTCATTTTCTTTTAGTACTCGCGAGTTTGAAAAATATTTAAAATCGGATCGTGTCAGTGAAGATTTAAATAACTCCATTTTTACTCGAAAGGCGACTGTGATTATTCGAGCTTGAACAATTGTAACGTTTTTCCTTGAAAACGCTTCTGTACTATATTAATGATTTTCGATATACAGTAGAGCGTAGTTTATCCAAAAGTCAGTTATCCGAAAGAATTCCAGTCGGCAAATTTAAATTTTCGCTAGTGCTGTGGCGCTGCAATCTTTGGCTATATCTTGGGCTACTCCA